TTTATGTATTAAAAAAGCTAGATGAAGGTGTTGATTTTCAAAGTATTGAAAATTCATTATATTGAATTAAAAAAAATATATAGTAAATAAAAATGAGTATGAATATAGCCGGTAGTACTTCAATGTATGGTTACACAACAGATGGATTAAATATCAACATTAATGTTGGCAATACAGCCACTACTGATGTTGATTTGAATTCACATAAACTTATCAATGTAGCTGATCCTACTAATTCACAGGATACAGTCGCAAAAAATTATGTAGATAGCTTAATTCCTTATCCTCATAAATATAAAGTTTTGATTGTAGCTGGACAATCAAATACTTATTATGGTAGAGAATAGGGTAATTCTAATGCAATAACTAATGTAAATTATATGCATAGACGAATAGTACAGTTTGCAATGGATAATGGACAAAATGATGTGTTACTTCCTTGTTCTCTTAGACTAGAAGTAAATGAATCAGATAATATGTGTTATGCTGGATATGGTTCAATATAAGCAGGTTTAATAATGCAAGATGCTACTACTTCAAATACATTAAATATAATAAATTCAGATGAAAGTTTAATGATACTTCCATGTATGTTAGGTGCAAAAGGCTTTAGTGATGATTTTTTTATGCCTTACGGAACTGGATTTAGAAATTTAACTCGTAGAATTAGATATATTTTAGCACATTATAACGCAGAATTTTGCGGTATGACTTGGGCTCAAGGAGAAAATGATTCTATAGATGGTTGGAATAATAATTATATACATATTCTAGTAAACTTTATGCAAACCATAAGAGATCATATAGGGTATTCATCTAATCAGTTTTACACGTTAACAAATTCTCAAGCAAAATCAAATACAATTCCATTCCTTACTTTTCAAATAAGACCTGTATGGGTTGCAGCTAATTCAGCAAGAGCAACACCAGTTCAAAATGCGCTATCAACTATTGGAGAATATATTCCACACGCTGCAAGCATATCTATTACTAATCTTCCACCTTCCATGAGAATTACAAACGACGACACCGTACATTACGACTCGCGTCAACAAATATTTTTAGCTCAACAACTTTATGATGCATTAATTGTAGCTAAAAATAATTTTTATGCTAATAGTATTTATTATCCAATTTACATACCAGGAGAAACGCTAATTGTTAGGCAAGTAGCAACAGATTTATTTCCAACTAATTATTATGGAGCATATAATCAGACTAGTTCTATTCCATCTACAGCTTCAAAATATAGTCAATTATTTAATAACTGGCAATATAAAAACAACGATGGATGTTATAAATATCGCTTGAAATATAAAATTAATGGCGAATGGAAAAGTATTATATTTAAACAAGCATCCTTCCAATGATGTCTATGCATTATCAAAATATTGCACAACTCATATCAACTGAAACACCATTCGGTAATACAAATTCAGGACAAGGATTTTGTGGATTAAATTTGACAACTTCAAAAAGCATGATGAATTCTGGAGCAGTACTTACACTAGATACAGGTGGTGGTTATTGGGCACATGTATGTGCAACTAGCAGTTTTACAGTTGGATCTACCAGTGCTTTTACTGTATATAATAATTACATTGAAAATAATTCAGCCACTTATCATGAAGCCCTTTACAATGCTTTTTAGTATCGAGTATAATATAAATACGTAATATTATAATGAAGTTATAAAAATTCGTAAAATAACAAAGATAATATGAATTTTAACAAAACACAGTAATAAAAAGTAATAAATTACAAACCATTAAATACATAAGTTTGCAAAGAACTCATGGAAATATTCGTAAATAGTAAAACATAATACAATAAAGTATAGTATATCAGCAATAAATTGATAAAAACTCAAAAATAGATAAAGATGTTTTCAATTGAAAAGATAATTTTTTTAATTTTGTTTTTGAATGAGGAGTAGTTTAATTTGATTGAAAAGTCAAAAGTAGATAAAACTATTTTGTTCCAAAGAAGAGGTCCACGATAGGACATACAAAATTCGTCGTATTTAGTTTTGCAAAAAGGAGCATTAAGATTGTTGTCAATTCGTAAATTATATTTGTTTTTCGGTTTTAAAGAATAAAGATATTGAAATACCTGTGGAGATAAATTTTCTTTACACTTGAACATAAAGCATAAATATTAAAAATATTAAGTTGATAAACATTCAAAGCTTTCATATCTTTAAGAAGTGGCGCAGAGTGAGTAAGACGATTTTTAAAATTAATTGCGCGAGCTGCGTGTTTCTGATGATTAAAAAGAGTTTTAAGTTTTGTCTTTTGAGTGCTTCCCCATATAATATTTGCATAGTTTATATGACAGTGAACAAATGAATAGTACAGTTGAGTCAGCTGTCGTTTATTTAGTATGTTTCTAGCTTTATAAAGAATACCGATGCATTTGGAAACTCTAGAAGAGATAATGTTAATGTAATGTTTCCAAGTTAATATAGATTCCTAGAAACTTTGTTACTTTTTCTCTTTTTATCATTACATTGTCAATATATAGTTCAGGTAACTGACTAACTTTAATAACTGACAGGTAACTTTAATAACTGCAACTAAACTAGAATTATATGCTATAAGAGACTCTATATAACATTATTAGGAAAATGCTACTACTACGCTTAAGCGCACAAAAATAAAAAATCACGTGACATGTGACGTCATACAAGAAAATTTCGTGATCTTTGACGTCAAAGAAACGAAATTGACACTGATTTAAAAATTGATTTTTCAAATTTATATAAATTTGAAAAAATTTATTTCTTAGTTATAATATTTATACACAATATGGATGATAATGAACCTTATATTTATTTAAATATAAGGTTAAAAATATGGTTAAAAATGAAAATGAGTCAGAACCGGCATACTCCCTCTACTAGGCAATAATAATAAACTAATTATTTTGAAAAACAAAGGCAATAATAATAAACTGTTTCTCTTGTTTAATAACAAGAGAAACAGTAGCACATAAAAATATATAGTTTGAAGAAATACTAATAAAAATAAAACACGATTGTAACTACAACAAAACATTAAAGCAAAACACTAAAGCTGACTTTTAACATAGTTTTCTTTTTTTTTAGTTTAGTACAACGTATTTGCAAAGTCTTTTTCGTTTAAATTGTCTCCATGAAAAACTATTTTGTTATTCTTTTGTCAAAATATTAGGTTGTTATTATTGATTTAGTACTCAATGTTAATAGCTACTGCAATCCAAATTAAAGTAAGATTCTCATGCCTTCTGTTAACTGTACTGTTACGTTTGCATATAGCATTATATAAATAAAATTTTTACATTTACATAAATTTAAATATTACTAAATGGATATGCACTGTATATACAAGACAGAATTTACATTCGCTGCCACCATTATTGCAATATTAAAGACTGCTCTTAAGAGAGCATTGTTAAATCACGCATTTAAAAGCGTGTACACAAAATAAATGTGAAAGTAAAAAAATAACTAAAAAAAAGTACTCTTCAATTTTTATTTCTAACCAAGTAATAACTATAATACAATAATATAAGAAGATCAAATATGAAAAAAAATCAAATTAATCCTGTGGAAATCTGATAAAATTTCGAACTTTTGCTTTGGTGGTACCCATAAGCTTGTGCACAAACTAAGAATTGAAGCCATTTGATGCTTTTTTAAATGATATTTTAATATCTTTAATATTTCTGCAAAGTTATTTTGTTTTTATTATTTTTCTTTTAATGATGGCCCAGTACTTTTCAATAACTCTTAATTCTGGGCAGTTTAGAGGATTTTCTATTTTAGGCACAAATTTCACATTATTATTTTTATATCATTCCAAAGCTAGTTCACAATAATGAATTGAAATTAAATCTGGCCAGAAAACAGGTCTCTTATCGTGTAATTTAATGAGAGGTAAAAGGCGTTTTTGTAAACACCCTTTAACACATATTTGACCCGAAAGTGTGGACTGAGAAATATAAGGTGCTGATTTTTTGCCACAACTGCAAATAGCTTGCCAAGTTAAGACTTTTTTAGCAAACTTGTCGTGTTTTATGTATTTAAATTTCTTATCTGCTTTTTTTCTATATTTGGCAATATAATAGACGGCACCGGGATGATTGCTGATGATTGTACTTGATATAAGTTTCATCGTCTTTAATAATACAGAAATTTTTTGAAATAAAATTGTCATACCACTTTCTGCAGTGGGTTTTTGCGCTTTTTTGTTGAGTTTCAGATTGGTTGGGCACTTTTTGTGCTTTGAAAGAATGAAAACCATGTTTATTTCGAACTTTTACAACAAAACAATGAGAAAGTTCATAAATGTTTGCGCGCTCCCTTAGTGAAAAGCTTGGGTTAGTCTTAAAACTGTTAAACAGTTTTCTAACTAGTTTTTTATCTTTAAAACCCTTCTTTCTTCCACCACCAGATTTACGTTTGATCAATTTTGTTTAAGAAAAACGTTGGATTACACGACTAACGGTGTATGGATGTATTTGCAACGCTTTTGCTATCGAATTGTAGCTACTATTGAGATTTTCCAAATGTTTGTGCATAATTTTTTCTCTTATGTCTTCTTCTTTTGTCATTTTCAAAACTAATTTTAAGTTAAATCAAAAAACTAATACATTTTTTTGAAACCACAACCCAGTGGGCACCACAACACGTTGTAAACAAAATACAAAACAGTTAAAAGATTTTAATATAACCACTGAAAAAAAATGACGTACTTATTCTTTCACATTTATTTCGTCTACACGCTTTAACGACATTTCTCATTTATACGCCCGCAAATTTTTATGCTGGGCTATTTCCTTTACTATTAGCATTTATACTACATAATAGCGTCTAATCTAATTACGCATCTTGACACCTACACCAAAGATTATGCGTATCTTTGATTAGTGCCTATTTACATCTTACCTGGAATGTTTATAATTATAATCAACAGTAAATATAACAAATATACTAAAGAGAAGTTAAATATTATGCTCACATTAACAATGAATGTTTTGCCATTCCCTTGAACATTTGAATCATTCAAGCTTGAATCATTCCAAAAAAATCTTTTCAAATTAAATAGCGATTCAGCTTGCAGAACGATTTTCACATTCTGGAGATAACTATAACACTCCGGATTTGTTGCTAGATTTACATGCAAATATACTTCTTCGCTACTAAATCAAACAAACATAAAATTCTGTCAATTGTAAATAGTTAAAATTCACAGATGAGTTTAATAATTTTGAAATTACATTATTAGCAACAATCAGATATTTTACAGTTTATAAAAAGTTTCTAATAAGTTAGCAATGGCTACTCGGCTACAACACAAACACAGTACAAAACAAAAAACTAACTAACATTGGGTTTTTTTTCATTATATAAAAATAATTTCTATGATTTCACTTTTAATAGTTCAAATAGATAAAAGGATAGTTTTCGATATATAAGTAGAATTTATTTATTTGTGAAATCATTATATGCATACTAAAAATCGAGTTAACTATGGTTCATGGGAATTTTTATCTCATTCAAGTTTAATTTAAAAAAAAAATCGAAATTTATGTAAATAAATAAATAAATAAATAAATAAATATATATATATATATATATATATATATATATATATATATATATATATATATATATATATATATATATATATATATATATATATATATATATATATATATATATATATATATATATATATATATATATATATATATATATATATATATATATATATATATATATATATATATATATATGGCAATTAGCTGGAGAAGGATAAACCACAATACCAATTTTTGGAAAGAAAAGAATTTTTTTTCGAGCGAAAAAATTACAAGCTAACAGGGCATGGATTAGATTATCAAATTATTGGATATGTTTGAAACGTTTAATGGAACATTGGACGCTGCCGTTTGGATACAGCGAACTAAAGTGAGTGCAGAAATGCAAAATGTAAAGCTGAAGTCACTCTTTCCAATTCTTCTAAGAGGAACTGCCTATTTGGTATACGGTGGTTTAAACGCTAAAAATAAGCAAGACGAAAAGGAGGTTGAGCGTGAGCATTCTCTTAAGATGCTTATACGGCATACGAACTTTTTGTTAAACGAAAATTAAATGTTGGAGAAAGTTGATGTGTTTTTGGCCGACTTAAAACAATAGGCCGACTGAAAACAATCTTGCCAAATTGTCAGAAGAGGCCATTCGATTAGGGTTTGTTGTTGGATTGCCCTAAGATTTATCATCAAGATTTCGAGCTGTTATGGATCCAATCGATGTTATGTTACCAAAAGTAAGAGCTGCTTATTTTAGTGGATTTTCAACCGTTTGGAGTTGATATTATGCTGGAAATGAGTTCCATTAAATTGCTAGAAGGAGTTTTTATTTCCCCGTCTGTGTTTTGGTTTGGCTTGTGTGGAATAGCAGTCTCAACGAAAGATGAAGTCAATAAAATTGAAATTCAAAAGCAAGATCATGAAGCAATATTTAATGGTATGGAATGTGAAGTTAAATGGAAATGGAGTGATGGAGAAAGCCCCAACCAGTTGGTTAACAAAGTTGCCCAATGCAGCATACTAAAATATGCAATAGCAGAATATGAAAACGAACTACGGGATTGTATCAATCGTAAATGGTTAATTGAATATGGCGAAAATAAGATGGGACCACCCAAAGGGCAAATTTCCTTAATGGCTGTTATTCAACGAAATAAAGATAATAAAGTCAGACCCGTTTTGGAATGGAGAGAAGCTTACAGTTTTATTGAAACGTATACAAGAATTGCAGATGTCTGTGTTAAGAAGCTGAGGAAATGGAGGAGAATGGGAAAGAAACTAGCAATTATTGATTTACGCAATGCTTATCTCCAATTAAAAACTGAAGAATCTCTTTGGCCATTCCAAACAGTGGTTTTTCAAAACAAAAGGTATTGTTTGACACGGCTTGGTTTTGGATTAAACGTTACTCCAATGATCATGAATCTGTTGTTAGTGCCATTATTGATCAAGATGAATTGGTGAAGAGAGGAGCAAGCGCTTACGTGGACAACATTTTTATCAATGAGGAAGTAGTGAGTCTTGATTATGTCAAAAGACATTTTTGAAAAATATGATTTAGAAAGTAAAGATGGTGAACAGATTGGAATAATGGGGTTCGTATATTGGAATTACGAGTGTACAATGTTGGTGGCAAATTAACCTGGTCCAGGGAGAATCAACTCAACGCAATGCCAAAAAAATTAAGTAGAAGAATAGTGTTTTCCGTTTGTGGACAGTTGGTAGGTCATTTACCAGTATGTGGTTGGTTACGTGCAGTTTGTAGTCTTTTGAAAAGAATAGTGTTTAGTATGACAAAGGGTTGGGACGATAAAGTTTGCAATAAAACTTTAAAGCGTGTACTTCAAGAGGTTTATGATGAGGTTGCAAAGTGTCATCTAGCTTATAGTGATTGGGCTCTACATGATGACAAGGGGAATGTGTAAG